CACACATTTAAAACACTCATGTAACAGAAGAAGATACAATGCTCTGGGTATTTTTTTTTAAACTTACTTAGTGTATTTTTCACATAAACTTCTAGACAAGGAATTTATTAATAACTACTTATAAGCCAAATGGCCATTATCATGACTTCTTTTAATTTCCAGTGGGTGTCCAGAATATTATTGATAAAGAAGGGCAGAATGCATCTGTTTTCCCAAGTAATGGAAATTTCTTGATAATATATGGGTGTGTTACAGCAATTCTATGCTTTGTCAGTGCTAGCGATATCAAACAGATTATTTTACATCCTTCCTAGACACACAAATTGATCAAAACAAGTCCATCTGCCCATAGAAGTATTATTCTTCCACAAACAGTATGAAATTGGGCATGAAGATCAGACCAGGTCTATGCACAGCTTTCCAAGTTAAGCAAGAAACAAAACAGTACCACTAGAAGCTGTAGCTGCAGTCACCCCATCTTCCACAAACTAACAGTCCACTTTTTTTATTCCCTTTTTTATCTAAAACCTTACTCCCTCTCTATCTAAAACCAGATATGTACAGTCCATATTTATAAACATCACTCCAATAACTGACAATGAACAGAAGTAACATTGACAGCAACTATAAGATCTGTTTCTTCCCCAGTTTATATTTATCACCTTTTGAAGCTGAATTCTACCTGATAATCTGCAGCAGGAGGCTATCCACACAGAGATTAGCCATAAATTAGCAGATTCATTAGTAATGAAGAATTTTCTGGGTTTGAATCCATTTACAGATGCAATTTATAGAAAACCAAAAGCAGTATGGTTTGATCAAACATTACAGTGAAAGCACTGTAGCATAAACTATGCAGAAAGTGCCATGCAGTGCTGTTTTCTTGAAAAATCTGTTCCTTAGCAACAGTTGCATATGCCTTTAAACTCCTACTACAACAAAGGAGTTGGCTTTATAATCATCGTTGCTAGGAAAAACAAGTGAACTGGAAAATATAACAAAAAAAGACATGTCTAATACTCCTTGTAACTACAGCTTCAGAGAGAAGTAAGTGTGTGCTTGGTTTCCACAGAACCACAGAGTTAAAAAGGAAGTGCAAACAGGAGAAAACACACCTTATTTTAGCAGAAAGAGTTGTAATATTACTTCTTTACTAAAAGCTGCAGCTAATAAAACAGTGAAGGCCTTGTGCAATTAACACCAGTAGTAGGGCATGCACCTGTTTCTTTCTACTCTATATTTCTACTAACATTCCCTGCAACAGAAAATACAACCAGCAAAAGCTGGTCTCACTCTCTGTTATATTGAAAGTTAGGATTTGATGAAGTCTCACCAAATATTTTAAAGAATCTTTTCTACCTCTTTGTTTAGGGAGTAGCATGTATTAATAACTTACCTATGTAATTCAACAGTTAAGAGACTGGGAGCTATGATAAAGCAGAGGATAATGTGCATCCTTTAGCAAATGGCTGTCTTCTACCAAATGGCCCAGAAACTCTACAGATTGAGATTCTAGAGACCCAGCGTATCATTCCCCTTTAAAAAAAAAAAAAAAAAAAAACATTTCCTTTACCTCAAGTAACTTCACTTGCAAGAAAACAAAAAAGCCCACAACACAAAACAAAAAAACAGCACTTTCATTTGCTAAAAAAAAAAAAAAAAAATACAGAACCACAAGGGAAAATCAGAAAGCACACCCCAAAACTTATAAACCCCAATGAGAGCCAAGGACTCCAAGGAGGAATTTAACATAGCTGTTAAAGATACTCCAAGGAAGGCTCTCAAGATATTTAGGTGGTAGGCAGAAGCACAACACACTAAAATAGAATGCAGCAGTTAAAGCAAGTAACAAAAACCAGATGTGTTAAAACTCACTGTCTGACCTCTTCCTTTCCACTGTTCCCCAACAAAGTAGAGCGAGACAGAACTGGAACAACAAGGTCCGAAAAAAAAAAAAAAGTATTCATGTCTTCTCCTCTGCAACTGCTTTCAGGAAACAACTCCATTACTCAAGCTATTTTTAAATAAAATTAAAAGTAAAGGAGCACTGAAATGAAGGGTCATTCATTAACTGAGTATCAAAATACTTATACAGTGTTCTGCTGCAGATGCAGCAATCACTATTTTCCCAAACAGAATACCAGAGACAAAGAGACTCCAAATATTTCCTTTCTCAGCTTTATAAAAGTCTCCACCATTGATGGTTTGGGAGCTTCGGATCATTTTCTTAATTGCCTTCTTATTTCAGATGATAAAACAGTATCAGTATTTACAAAACAACTTGAAGAGAATTGCTATGCTCAAGAATCTACCTATCGCGATTCAAGTTCCCACAATGTTGTTACAAAAACTAAAGAAAACACCAAGTACTGTAACTCTAAGCCAACAAGTTCTAGACTTATCTTAAAAGGCTAAAAAACATAATGAGGTTAAAATCCTAGAATACAACACTATATCAAATAAGAAAAAGGGTCGACAATTCCAGGATCATGTTGCAAAAAAAGACAGCAGCCAAAAGCAAGCAGATTGCTCCAAAAGTAAAATCTCCTACTACCATGGAAACTATAGCTGATTAAAAAAGCACACTAGTACTACTTGACAGTGCAAATTCATAGCAGTAGAATGCTATCTTCAATACAATCACCACTATTAGCCATATAGTATCAGCAGTGAAAACAAGAGCTTGCATGCCATGCTCACAAACATCCACATCAGTGGAGGTGATCCATTGTTTCACAGCTGCTGTGATGGCACTAATGCTAGAAAAATCTTGCCCATGTAGACCACCTTTCATTGGCCTGAACAAATGGAAGTCAGAAGGTGCCAAACCCAGACTTTATGTTAGAGGTGGTAGGAAAGGCCAGCTAAGAATGGTAATGTGCTTCATGGTCTTCAGATGGATGAGGCCTGGTGTTATCATGCTGAAAAAGAAACTTTGTCTTCTCCAGCCTGACTCTGGAAGTGTGAGCCTTCAACTCAGACAGGGTCACAACATAAAAGTCAGAGTAGAGCGATTGTCCAGGTTCCATAAAATCCAGAAGGATCATCCTTTTCCTACCCCAAAATTGTACACTGCTTTATCCACCCAGGGTTACATCTTGAACTTCGATGGGAAATTCATATGTAACCATTCCATGGATTGTAGTTTTGACACCAATTCATAGCGGTGACAGTGTATCTCATCACTGGTAACAACACAATCCAGGACATAATCATCTTCAGCTTCATGTTGGGTCAATACATTAAAAAGAAAATTCCGATTGCTCACTTCAAGATAATTGGAATGGGCTCATTTTAACAAACAAATACACACAACTGCATGTAAAATGCACATGAACAAATCTAAAGGGGAAAATCATATAGTTACCTAGAAGTTACTATTATTTATAACCCACTTCAAAAAATATCTTTTGCAACTACACTCCAAAAGTAATGCCTCCTATTCATTTCCATGGAAACTACAATAGATACCAAGAGCACAATAGCACTACTTGATAGAGCAAATTTTCAGCTACAAAACATTGTTTTTCATTGCAGTCATCACCATCAGCTGATTCACCCAGATGGGCTCACCAAGAAGCTCTTCATTTCATGGTGACAGTGGTGCACGGTCATCCAGAACATGGATTTTCTTTCACAGCACTGCTGCCACTGCTGAAACATGCCAATACTTATGTCAGTACGTACAATTCTTTCCAAATGGAGGAATTCAATTCCACACCTTTGCTTCACATGTTCTTCTATGTCAAATATCACTTTGTCAGACATGGTTTGCCATCTGTCGCATTGTAACAGCATGTAATAGAATATTCATCAGGAGGTTCAACTTCTAACTGCCATACCTCTGACGTCGTTGGCCAACATAATAAAATAGGAAGCATTACTTTTGGAGCAGCCCTTGAATAATATAGGTTCAGTTAACAAACATGCAAAGGGTCTCTGATCTGCCTCCACCAAACTTCATCTGATATTGCAGATCTTCATAGAGAGAAAGGGAAACGGAATTATCATTTAAAAAGAGGGTCCTGAACATATCCTACAACACTGAGACATCTCCAAAGCATTGATTGTTTCGAATTGTTAAATGGGATTTTTGTTGATAACTCCCTCTCCCCTTTGTCCTCCAAGAGACAAGTTTCTTCAAGTCTTGATTCTACCTGTAACACAAGTTTAGCACCAGTTGCCAGGTGTACCAACGCTGTTTGGAGCTACAGCTAACAATTCAAATGCGGATGCTATTTTCTTTTTATAGATAATGACTACACATGCCATGGACCTTACAGGCTCCATTAGAGCATGCTGCATAGTAACATTATGGTTGGGCTACCATGGAACAAGAAAGAAAGCAAGGCAAGCATCAGGTATCATTTTTCCCTATTCCTTATTTGCCAGGCTTCATGCAGTTCTCTGGCACAGCAGAGAGCCATAACAAGACCTCCTCCTGCTACCTACCATTTGCTTATTTTCATGAGATGTATTAAGTGGCAAGTACAAGCGATGAATGACCAATTGGTAAAATGATAAGTTATCTGTGAAGGATGACAGTAAGGAGGGGTTCTTCCAAGGATAACCGCTATCAGCAACAGCACCCCCTCCAAGGATGGGCTTGGGTGCACTCAGTGCAAGACCTACCTTGCTACAAACCCCTCTTGTCTGTTCATTTTTCCAGGAGTTGCACATCACAGCTCACCTTGGAATTCTCAACACTACTAGCCGTGCAAATACCCGAGTTTCTCCAGGACTGAGAGGCAGAACACAGGCAGCAGCTCGGGGGCCCAAAAGCTTTGCTCTGGAGCTAACAGTATACGTACAGGGGGCTGACCTGCTGTGGGCACGAGGCTGGCCGGCCTCAACGCCACTACCCAGACCCGCCGGACAGGTGTGCCCCGCGGGATGCCCGCGACGTTCTGGGGCTGCTCCCCCTTCTCTCCCCACCCGCCCGAATCCGCGGCCCATCGGCACCAGGCCGCCCCTCAGCGCTGCGCCCCGCGCTCAGATACCTGACAGCGGCTCAGCTCCTCCGCCAGGCACCGCAGCTCTTCCTCCAGCACAGCCACCCGCGATGCGGCCGCCTCCAGGCGCCCCGCTGCCATCGCCGGCGTCGTTCTGTCAGCCTCTAGCCGGAGATCACAGGCCCCACAGCGGCAGGAAGGGATGCGGAGAGCGCCCGCCCGCTCCTAAGGGAAAGAAGAGAGAAGCGGTGCCGCGAACCGCACGAACGAAAACTTTCCCCCTTCGGTTCCACTTACCGCGCGCACGAGCGCCGGAAACCACGGAGAAGGACGCGGCGCAATGACGTCAGCCCAACCGCTACCGCTGCGGAGCGGAGGGGCGCGAGGGCAGGTTTGAATTTGCCCGCCCGAGGGGCGGGGCCGCGCATGCGCCCTACGTGAGCCTCGCCGAGCGGGGTGGCGAGCTGCCTTCTCCCGCAGCGTGCGGGAGCGGAGGTGGCTCCGCCTGGATGCAGCGCTTTGCCTTGCTCTCCCCTGAGCTGCGGGAGCCCCGAACGTTGTCTCGTCTAGCAGTACTACGCAAACGTTTTGTTTCTTTCGGGTGGGTTTAAGACCCTATAATTGGAAATTAATCCTGATGGAGCTTTTGGATCTTCTGAAATCCATGGAGATTCGTGATCCTTGACGTCCCTTCCAACCCTGGCCGTTCTGTGAAATATTTGTGTGTGAGCATCTACGTAAATGTATGTGATTTAAAAACACGGTATGGAGAGTGTGTTGTTTTTTAATAAAGGAGAAAATGATGTTGCCCAAGCAAATGTTGCAATGCTTTCTGTAGTCTGCACAGAAAACAACAGACTCAAAAAAAAAGCTCCGATTTTTTTCCCAAACACGTGAGGAAGGAGGTAGAAACAAGTTTGGTATAGTTTTCAGCCTGGAAGTGAGCACTGACTGCTGCATTTCAGCAATATCTGCACTTTGCTGTAGGACTATTTTTGCACCTATGAGGCATGCTTTCCAAACCCATCTGTTACCATTTCTGCACAGGTACCAGAAAAGTTGTCCCAAGGGTACCATTGTGGCAAAAATTGAAATTCTTACTTGCAGACAAGTGCATCATGTAAGTTACACATTGAAATGTCCAGTCCTTCCCCCAGTTGACTTGACAAAGAATGCAGCATCTCTGCTGATGGATTTGCGTGTAAAAGTTGGGTTTAGAAGCATGTTGAGCTCTTAAGTCTCTACTTAGATGGTTGAAACAGTAACTGTTCAAAATATCAATTTTACATAATTATTTCTATATAAAACTATTATGACTCTAAGTAAAACTGAAAGTATCACCTGTATGTATGCTTCTATAGATATATGTTGCATTCAGCAATTACCTGATCAATATAATGTCTCTCTGTGGAATATTTTTTTTATTTTTCTTTTCTATTGTTGTTTCTTGCAGATTGTATAACATCAACATGTCAACGTGTTTATGTTCTTACTCCTTCAATTATTTATCTTTGTACATTAACACATGTTCATTTAAGTGTAATGACCATGCTGCCTTAATTTTAATGTGCTTACGTTTTCACTTTTCTGTTTGTTTTGAGGAGTTTAAAATTCATTTTTTTTCCCTTAAGTTACCCGGTCACTATTTAATATGTAGTCAGCATTTTTTCCCTGCCTCTTCATGTTTTCCTGATATTTGTATCGTTGTCTTATTGCCCATAAGTTCTCTATTACACGTGGGCAACAAGAAGCCAGCCTTACTTACAAAAGAATATACTTGGTTTATCTGCTGAACAACTATAATGACTGAATAGGATTTTAAAACATTTTCCAAGTACGAGGTCATTCAAAGGTTACTGAAAAGATTCAAGCACTAGAGCTTGACATAGGACAAAACAGTAGACCACAATTCACATGCCTCTGTAATTTAGAAGTGGAAGTTTACGCATATTCCATTAGTGTACACACATATTGCCACATTGAGTACACAACCAACACTTTTCCATAGCCAGATACTGATTTTATAGACATTGTTTTTGTATAGAGTTAGATCATCTTCAGATTTATCTGTCGTTTCATAAGCTTGGCTCTCTATGAAGTTTCTAGCTATTAAGCTGAAGAGCTTTCAAGATAATTATTAGAATATTTTGTTTAAAGACCTTACTATGTGCACTTGACAAGCTTGGATGAATAGGGAGACCTCGCCTTATCTTGGAGCATTTTGTACATCTCATTTCTCCTAAATCTTACTGTTTTGGAACACCTGCAATTACAGCTATCAGATACATGACAATGTTAGGCAAAATTCTTCCAAGCCTAAGTTCCTCCCTTTGGATTGCATTTTTTTCTAATGAAGAAACCATTTAGTTTGAACAGGCTCAACACATCAAATTTTCCTTGAATGTGATTGTTGAGTAAACATGCAATTTTTAGTGGCTTTCCCAATTGTAGAAGGTCCATTAATAAATATAGTTGCATTACATGATCTAAATCTGGTAGGTATGGCTTTTGTCACTTAAAGAGTTCGTGAAAGAATGCAAATAAAAATGTTCCCCTAGTTATTTTTTGACAGGAAATAATTTGGTACGGTATTTTTGTTTCTTTGTTTTACAGATAGGAAATTCCATGCCTTAATTTGAAGTATGTTCATATAACAAACACACTGCAATTACTCCTGAACATGTAATTTTTTTTTTTTCTGTTTGCTAGTTTGCTTTCTTTACCTGAATGTGAAGAAAATCATTATTGTGGCATCCTCTAGTACTGCGTTATTAGAATTCAAGAAACATAAGTACAAAACAGAGCATTCATATCTTGTTTTAAAGAAAAGGTGTCATTACTGTTATGATTTCAATCAAAAGTATTAACATTTTCTACTACTGAATTTGTATATCTCCTAACAGACAACTGTAACTCATCACCAGTTTGACAGTAAAAGCATTATCAAAGAGGTCCTCTCTGTAAACTGATTTTCTGCTGCAGTAAGCAAGAGAAGCCAAAGTTGCTGAAATTATTTCTGATAGGTTTTGGCACTGTCTTCAATATTTTAGTAATTTATGTTTCTAAAGAATGTATTGCAGCACTGGAAATACGTTAGATCAGGCTCAAAAAGTGGGCCCATAAGTACCTAATGAACAAGACTGAGTGCAGGGTGTTGCACCAGGGACAGGGGAATCCCTGATATGTTTCCAGGCTGGGAAAACTCCTTGAGAGCAGCCTTGCGGAGAAGGATTTGGGGTCCTGGTGGATAAAAACTGGACATGAGCCAGCAATGTGCTCTTGCAGCCCCAAAGACTGACAGTATCCTGAGCTGCATGAAAAGAGGTGTGGCCAGGACAGAGGGGCATTTGATTGTCTGCCTCTACCCACGTAAGGACACATCTGGAATACTGTGTCCAGGCCTGGTGCCCCCAACCTAGAAAGAGCGTGGACCTATTGGAGCCGGTCCAGAGGATGGCCACTAAGATATCAGTGAGCTGGAACACCTCTCCTTCTATGAAAAAAAGTTGAAGGAGTTGGGCTTGCGTTTGGAGTTTATGTTCTCCAGAGTTACTTCGTTTTGCCCAAGAACTAGCACTTGTCTAGCACTACATCAGAAGACAGTCTTCCACTTAGCTCGGCAACCAGAAAGCTTGCAGTTTCCCACTGCCCTTCAAATTTGGTCTTAGACTGTGGTACTGCATTCTTGAAAGCAACAGACAGAAGACTGTAACTTGCACTGGGGCACGTCATTGGAACAAAGCAGTAAGGAAGCAGTTCGCAGTGTCCTGGATGTGGGGATGAAATGTGCCCCACCCCACAGCACCTGCCAGCTACCAGAGGCCTAGCGGGAGGAACTGACAGCTGGAGGTAATTAAGAGGAGGAAGCAGATCTCAGAGTTTGGCTGTTCTGGTAGAGGGAGATGGAGTTTGTGTTGCAGTAAGATGAGGAGGTGGGTTTAGCTGAGTCTTGGGAGTTGACTGTCTCACTGTTAATGTGATTCTTAAGAAAATCAAGCCTGAGGAATGAGTGGAGTTTTGACCTTGTATGGGTTGTCGTAGACTAACTGCGAGAGTCACCTGGTTATGGAAGGGGTGCGTGGAGAATGGAAAGCAGAGTTCCATCACTCTGACAGAGGGTGTGAAGAGTACATGGCCACCCAGGCACAAAGAGTGAGATATGATACCCTTCGTAACCCAAGGAGTGGTTGCTGGAAGGGACAACGTAGTCCGTGACCACCCATGTGGTGTGTATACAGGACATGGATGAGACTCTCCCTAACCCTTGGGATGGCAGCTGGGAACATACACCTACACTTCCTTGCTCTTACTAGCCCATTGCTTTCATGCACATGAGCTGCAGGCTTATGAAAGAGCCTCATAGTTGACCCCTTTTGAATGTTAAAGATCAGTTTTGTAATCATTTGTCACTTTTAATGTATTCTGGTGAGCAGTGAACTGGAAGATGCTAACTTTTTTTCAAGTAGTTAAATAAGAACTCTTAAATAAGAATTTTAGCTTTGATTTTAAAATTGTTGCATTTTAAATTTCTACAATTTTGAAATAACAGAATCTCCAACAGCACTACAGCATCAGATCTTTAATGTAAAGATCTGAGCCAAGCTGCTAAGTTCACTTAATTATAGACTACCTCCTTCTGAATAGTGAAGAGGTTAGGTTGTAGTCAGGTTCTAAGTCGTTCACCCAAGAGTGAACAGCAGTAGCTTTGATAAAGCTACATTTATAAAATAGAACAAAAATCAGTACCCAGCGATGTTTTTTCTCAGAAGAGAGACAAGGCCTACGATTTTCAGGTCTTTGTTTAACAATTCATACCATCTTAAAAAAAAAAAAAAAAAAAAAAAAGACCTTAAGAAAACAAAAACAAATTGGAACAAAGTGTGAGCACTGCCAGTTTTGTTAAAAAACATTGGCAGAAATTAAAACATTTCCTTTAGTTTTATCAATCTACTTATATTACTATTCTTTGCCATGTACTAGCATTTTAAGAAAATATATTTGCTCCCAGTCTAAGATAAGTTTTTTTGGACATTTCAGTAAAATATCCTTTTGGCCTCAGCTTTCCTGCTGAATTTCTCTACTTCGAATTCTAAGCAGAATATATTTGTGTTTGCCTCAGTTGACCAGATTTAAGTAACAGTTATTTACTATCACGTAAACTGACAATTCAGAAACTTCTTCAGATGAACAAGCGAAATATTATTTTTATTATCTGTATGCACTGTAGTAGTAGCTCAGAGTTACTGGGAGGCCACTTTGTGCTGCAGTATTTCAGCTGCTAACACTGTTCCCAAACGCAGTGTTTGCTATAAATTCCCAGCCCAAGGGAGTACCAAACAGATACTGCACATTGCATTCTAGG